CACACACACACACACACACACACACATAAATTAAAAAGAAAAGAAAATCAAGAGGCTTTTCTTGTACCCCTCCCTGCGTGGCTCCCAGTTTGTGGAAATCTTCCTGCCTTGGTCTCGGGAGTGCTGGGATTACAGGTGCGAGCCACACACCCGGCTCCTTGTCTGTTTTTCAAACAAACAGGGATCACTTGAGCCTTCCCTTTATTTTGTTTTGATACTGTTGCTTACTGAAGATTATTTTATGGCCAGCAAGATGGCTCAGCAGGCAATGCAGCTGGAACCGAGCCTGATGACAAGAGTTCAAGCTTCAAGACCTGTGTGGTGGAAGGACAGAAACTCCCCCAACTTGTTCTTTGACCTATACACACACACACAAACACACAAACAAACAAACAAAAAACCACACTGTAACAGGTACATGCCCACATACTCATATGCACACACAAACAATAAAATTTAAATGTAATAAAAGAGACTAAACTTTGTTTCATTTTTTGAGACAGGGTTTCCCTGGCTGTCCTGGACCTCACTCTGTAGACCAGGCTGGCCTTGAACTCACAGAGATCCATGTGTCTCAGCCTCATAAATGCTGGGGTTAAAAGCGTGTGCCACCATTACAATCATACCAATCTGTCACTGCAGAGGAGCCGCCATTGCTCCAAGGGAGCGTAGAGATGCAAATGTCTACTACGTTTCCAGTGTCCCTGGAAATGTCTCCAGGGAACTGATCCAAGCTAATCGGAGAACAGAAGGGCTTGGTTTGAGTTTTGTCAAATGTGCATATAACTACCCGAGCAGGGTAATGCTAGCGCACACCTCTGATCCCGGCGCTTGGGAAGCTGAGGTAGGTGGATCTCTGTGAGTTAGAAGACAGCCTGGTCTACAGAGCCAGGGCTACACAGAGAAACCCTGTCTCGAAAAATAAGTACATAAAAGATAAACTAAAAAAGAAAAAGGAAAAGAAAAGAAAAGAAAGCTATCTGACTCGCGTGGTCAAAACAACTTTTCCTCCGTGCTTGTTTCCCTGGGCACCGGTTCTCACAGACCCAGGGGATCTTGCCCCCAAAGCCACGCCAACCTCGCCATCTCGTAGGTAGGCCACAGCGCAGCCCGGTTCTGTCCACAAACATTTCCTTGTTGCCCTCACATCCATTCTCTCCCGGCTCAGAATGGCCTTCAACACAGGATCTCTAGAGCCTGCATCAATATAAGGGTCCCCAGGGAAGGGACACGGTATCTGAGCCCCGCCCTCCTAACCGGAAGTTCACCTGTTTCAGGTGAAAACCCTCTGAGAGTTACATCGCGGTTACCCCCGTTATGGCCACTTGCCACAGCTAAGGCCCAGTGTGTCCACCAACTGTCTAAACTGAGTAAGAGCACACACACTTTCTTTGGCAAGAATTTTCCACTCCCTGCCAAGTTCCATAGTGCAACTCCCACCCATCAGCGTGCAAAACAGACTGGGTCTCAACCCCACCACCTGAAATCGCCCCGGAGTAGAAAGCCCTCCCCCCTTTCTACCAGAGAACCAGGTTCCACCCTCGGACTTCCTGAGTCGGAGGATTAGGAGGCACAAAGGGCGGGCAGGGAGAGCGCCCAGATGGTAGAGGTAAGGGCTAAGCCGTCAAGGTAACGCGCTCCAGACGCCGCTGGCGGACTCCGGGTCACAGGAAGCCGTGTCGCCCGGCTCTGCGCCGCGCACAAGGGTCCAGGGACTACGTCTCTGCTCACTGTGTCCCCCGCACCCGGCTAAGCCAGACACCTGTTCCCGGCTCCTGAAAACCAACACGATTGTGCAAACCTGACTCCCAAGTTTGGTAATCCGGGAGGCGGAACAGGAAAAGACAAGTTCTCAGCGCCACTTTCTACAGGTGTCTTTCTCCGGGACGAGCCAAACGTCGCCCCGAAGATCTTGACGATCGGGGCAGACCTGGGCGCTGCCCTCTCCGACCCGCCTGGGAAGCCCGGGGGACTCGGTTCCGCGCGCGCCGCGCCGCCCCTAGCGGTGAGCACCCCCGAAGGCCCTGTAAAGCCAGGTGGGCTCACCTGCGATCGCGGGCCGGGCCCTGCCCGAGGCCTCGGTGTCCCTCGGCGCCCGTCACCCGCCGCTCCGGTTCCCCGCGCTGGCCCACCGGCTGCAGGGCGGCCGTCTCCTTCCTGCTCACCTCCGGCGCGGCGGACGGGGGCGGAGCCGCCGCGATTTACATACAGGGCGAGCCTGCCCAGCCTGCGCCCCGCCCCCGGACCCGCCTCCTGGGCTGAGCCGACGGGGCGGGGGCGCCTCCTGGGAGTCGTCGAGGGCGTGGGCTGCTCTCCAGCCAATCGCGGGCCCAGGAGCGCGGGGCGGGGCTGCGGGGAGAAGACGCACCTAGCGCAGCCAGCCCGACCCCGCCCTCACCTGCGCGCACCTGGTCGTGGGACTGCTCACAGATCCCAGTGTCCCACCGCCTCTTGGAAGAGGAAATAGTTCCTGGTTGCCTTCCAGGCTGGATGCCACCTATACAGTGAGGTTTCTCCAGCGGCTGTTGGCTGTCGAGTGAGGGACATAGCTAGGCGGGCTCCTCGAGAGAGAGGTTACGCCTGTAATCTGGCACATGCCTGTAATGCCAGCACTCAAGGCAGAGACAGGCGGATCTCTGAGTTAGAGGCAGCCTGGTCTACAAAGAGAGTCCAGGAGTACAGAGAAACCCTGTCTCAAAAAACAGAGACTTCTCTGTCCAAATAATGACTGGCAGATGCATGTTTCAGCCTGTCAGTAAGGTGGTATGATGGGAACGAAGGCCTAATGGTGAGCCGCCTGGAGGCCCCACTTGTCTTGAAAGAGGCCACTGGAGCCTGAGGTCCACAGGGCCAGCCTAGTTTCCAGCTCAAGCAAGGGAGGTGCTTAGAGTAACAGGCAGGGAGATGAAGGAGACCACGGGTGGCCCCAGTCCTCACCTATTAGCGCCCTCCCACCACTCCCCAGCTGCACTCAAGAGGACAGACAGGACTCATCTCCTCAGTGTCCTTCAGAAGCCCTGATCATGCTCCCCAATCCAAGGCTTTCCTCCCCCAGAATGGACAAATCAGGAACGAAGGGAAGGGATAACCCAGAAAGTATACTCAACAACAGCAGAATATATTTTTTTTAATGGCTTTGGCTTTATGGCACGAAGCAGACACCCCCTGGTTTAAAGGCACAGAGTCTTCTGTTCTGCCCAATCTTCTGGGCCTCTGAAAATAAGTCCTGAGTTCCAAGGAGTTCACTGCCAGGCAGCACTTCGGGGGAGGGGGGGCTTGAAAGCACAACAGCCAGGCAGGAGGGTGTGGGGCAAGGCTTCACGTCCCTACAAACAGCAGACACCCAGGGCCATGGACCACGTTGGCCCAGACAGTTCCAGGTGAGAGCTGACAAGGTCCCTGAGAGCAGTCCAGGGACCAGAGCTCTGTCGTCAGTGCTCCAGATCCCTGGGTAGCGTGAAGTCTCTCAAGCTATAGAAGGAGATGTCACCATGATCCACCAGGGCAAAGATCAGAGGAACATCCCCACTCTGGTAGGTCAACCGCTTGAGGCTGCAGAGGTCTGGGACAGGCTCGTCAAATCTGTAGGAATAAAGATGAAACTAAGACCGAGTCATAGCTCACCCATGGCTCCAGGGCAGGAAGACTGTAAGACAGAAGCTAGGGGTACAAGAATACTGGTCCCTGGGCCCTGCTTTCTGCAACCTCCATGGCTTTGATGAGCTCAAGAGAGCCCCAGAGGGCTAGGTATAGGTTCTTACCACTCTTAGCCAGTAAATCCCTTCAAATCAATTCCTTTCTGCTGAGTGAGCCCAGGACTAAAGTGGAAGAAGAGAAAGACTGCCCCAAAATGCCAGTAACAAGCAATCAAGGATTGGAAAGGTTGGGTACTAAGGCACCAACTGGCCATATGGCCTTAGATAAGGGGAACTTAAGCCCTCTGGCCCTCAAATTCTACCCAGGGACTGAGAAACTGGTGGCAGGGATTAAGAGATAGACTGGCAGCAGCCAGAGGCACTGCTCAATCATGTCGTACCCACTAATACACATTCGGGCATAGGGTTTGCCAGGGTTGTTTTTTCGGAATGTAGACACAGCGTCAGCCTGGTAAATATCAAAGCTGATCTCCAAGCCTCTAGACTTCTCCAGCAGCCTGAGGACCAAGTAAGAAACTTTAAAACAAGGACTCTCCTCTCCCAGCTCCCTCTAACCAAGCCCTTTCGTATTACCAATGCTACAAAGCAGCCTCACCAGGCATATACCCACCATCTTGTCATTCTCCCTTTTCCCTAGACACCCATGACAGTAGCTGTCACTGGGAGCTAAGTCTGTAGGCAGGTATCCCAGGGGTGATTCTCTGACTCACACCCAACTCCAGGAATCAAATCCCAGCTGTTGCTCCACCTGGCAGCCAGTGTCATGGAGACAGTGAGCACAGCTGAGACTCACCGGTAACCTCCATCAGCAAGGCGTGTTGTCTGCAGCACAGAGATGTGTTGAAGGACCTCAGCTACAAGGGCAGTGAAAACAAGATGTTGATGAGGGGAGTCAACCTACACGCTCCCATCATACTGCCAAGTCTGCACCCAGGTTAGGATCACCAGACTTACCGGGATGTTCAGTGTAAACTATGTTCTGCACAGGAGCAGTATGAAGAACGCATTTCTCTGGTAACCCTACTCTACCTCGCCCCCATGTGCCTTTACAGAGTGCTGAGCCTGTTCTGCTCCTCTCTGGCCACATACCTTGTTCCTTGTGTTTAAAACTGAGAGCAGATAGTGAGCTTTCCTATCATTTGGCTAAAACTTCCCACTGTGGTGCCACCATGTTCTCGCTAACAGGCTGTGGAAGGGGGGGAACCTATAACTGGTCGCTGGCAAAGGGAACCTTGCGTATGGTCTTAAGAATGCAGGCATAGTTTTCATCCCCCACGAGTGTCACTGGGCAATGATTCATCAGGAAACCTTCCCCTGTGGCTGCTGCCACCACCTACAGAACAGTCTGTCAGGTCCCACTCCACTCCTCAGGCCTTAGCCAGCTCCAGTTTAATTATCCCTTTTAAAAGTCTTAAAAGTCCCAGGAGCCTACAGGGCTATAGCAGGGTTAGGGATTACCTGGGGAATCAGCTTTATCAGGCTTGAGCAAGGGGGTAACAGACTGGCCCCACAGGTGTGGAGGGAGGGGCTGGCTCTTCTGCATCTGTCGCCTCTGCAGCAGCTCCTTGTACTCCCGCCAGCTAGAGCAGCCCTGTACCTCGGGATCTGCATTCACATCCTCCCGGAACTGCTGGACCCGTGCCTGCTGTTCCCGGTCTCTCCGGGAAAACTTCTCTTTCCGCTGGTTCAGCTTTTGGCACCAGGACTCAGCATCTGTCCCTCTCCCAATGACATTGGCTGGGAGCAGCTCTGGGGCTGGGGCAGGCAGGAGGGTGTGGCGACTATCTGAAGCCATGTTGGGGAATGAGATCTGCTCAAAGTTCCAGCGAAGCTTAGGAGGCCCTTTGGCTCCATTCTCTATTTTGTCACTCTCCTGGCCACATCCCACATCCTCCCTGGATAGATCAGGGCAAAGTTCTGAGGACCCCAGAAACTGAAAGGGGAGCCCTGAGCCCTTCCTGGGGCTTGACTCCTGGGGCTTGTCCTCTGGGTTCTGGCTAGTCTGGTCACAGTCAGGTGAGCTGGAGGCTGCCAGTACAGGAGTCAGGGAATCCTGCAGGGCCTTGGCCTTCTTATGAACAGACCTTAGAGACACGGGAGGAAAAGCAGCACATTTGCCCCTTGTTACTGTCCCTAAGACAAGCATTTTCCACTGGGATTGAGGTAGACCCTCTGCTGTCACCCCAAGCTTGTGTGAGAGCAACTCAGGCCCTTTCTTAAGCATATGTACACGCTGAGGTCATGACACTCCCCGGGGGTGGCAACAGCAGGTGAATTACCGACAGCTGGAATTCCTCTTCCTTTTGCCAGTCCCATCCTCCAGGCACTGGGCATAGCCGTCCAGGTTAAGCTGCCTCTCATAAGGTGACACAACAGAGCTGTGGGTGAGAACAGAGGGCATGCAACAGACCCACCTTTTCAGGCTGCTACTGCCGGCCCAGAGGATGAGGCAGAGCCCAGAGGTAGAGCCGTATCCAAAGCAAGGGTACCTGGGAACAGCCACAAGGGCCTAGTCACACCTTTACCCAGTTCCGAGTGTCACCAATAGTACCTCTCACCAGATGCTCCTAGAGAGCTGGCAACACATGATTAATCAGACTAAGTCCAGCTCAAAGATAGAGACCCTTTGCCTAGGAGCTGCAAGGCCCTGGCTACTATCCCCAGCACCACAGAAAACAAATCATTACACTGGTGAGAAAAACTAAGAGGCACTAGAAAACTTAGAAAATACAGAAAAACAAAGATGAAAATAAATACTTTGAGCCAGGCAATGGTGGCACACGCCTTTAATTACAGCACTCAGGAGGCAGAGACGGATGGATTCTTGAGTTCGGGGCCAGCCCAATCTACAGAGTGAGTTCCAGGTCAACCAGGACTACACAGAGAAACCCTTTCTTGAAAAACCAAATAAAAAAAACATACACACAAAAACAAAAACGAAAAACAACCCTTGGATTCCCACAAGTAACTTTTCTTTTCTTTTTACTTTTTTAAAGACACGGTCTCACGGTATAGCTCTGGCTGTCCTAGACCTCACTATATAACCTAGGGTGCTCTGGACTCACAGAAATCCCCCTGCCTCTCTCAAATGCAGGGATTAAAAGTGTATATACTACACTCAGTCATTTTTATTTCTTGCACACACTACTGTTTCTCTGTATGTTTTCCCCCCTGAAAAAACTGACACTGTATAAACACGCTGCTTTAAAATCCTTTTCCCCTGTCATATTCCGTCACATTCTGTGGGCTCAGACTCTTATCACTTACTACTACAGCTCTCTTCCCTGTGACATGTGGCATGCAGAGCCTTGGGTATTATTCCTTAGGAGCTCTCTATCTGTGTCTTTAGGTGTACCTTCATCACCCAGTCCCTCACTCATGCATGCGCTTCACAAACTGACCAGCACATCTACATGCCAAACGATGGCTACTGTAGTGCTTTGTCCTATGTTAAGCTGAAGGTCATCAGCTAAATTAGGTTCCAGTCTAACAATCCAGGAGAAAGCGCAGTGATGGAAATCATCTCCACATGCCTTGGTTGAGCACGTCTAGCTCAGCCCCAGGATGCTGCACTCAAGCCAAAGGTCCCAGGGACACAGCGAATGGGAATCAAGGGAAAGACTTACCTTCGTTGGAACCGACGAACCACATAGCCCAGTCTCTTCAGGTGGCTGAAGACCTCAAGGGAAGAAAAAGGAAATCACGCATGTTTGTTTTGTTGGTATGTTTGTTTGAAAAGCTCTTGTTATGGATCCCTAGCTATCCTGGAACTATGTAGACCAGGCTAGCCTCAAACTACTCAAAAGTAGTTATTTCTCCCTCTACCGCTAAGTGCTAAAATTGTAACACACAGCACCATGCCTGGCTTAGATGTCCTTTCTTTAAAATAACTTAGTAGTTTCTGCAAACACAAATCATTTCCTGTACCTTCCAAAATTTTCTCTCCTAGGCCCACGTTCTAAACCTTGGGACTGCTTGGACCACATCCCAATATAAATATTATCCTTGCCAAACCTGTTGGCTCAATCATGTAATCCCAGCTACAAAGAGTGCTGGGGCAGGAGGATCACAAATTCACGACTAGCCTGGGATAAAGTGAGTTCAAGGCCAGCCTGTGCAATTTTGAAAGTCCCTGTTTCCGAAAATAAACAGACAATAGAGGCTACAGCTCAGTGCAAGAATGCTTGCTATCATGCATGCGCTGCTGGCTTCACTCCCGGCAGCACCAAAAATGAATAAGCAAACACCATCTTGAATCCTGCCTCCTATTCTGGGCGCAAGTGATGTTTAATCATTTATTGACAACACAAATCTCAAGAAGCTGACAGTGATAGGCCTCCTGGGTAAGAACTATATCTTAGGATATGCTAACATTAAAGTCTAGGCAAAGACGATGGCAGATGGTGACAGACATCACCCCGTGCAATCAACACTCAGCAGACTTGACGCGAACAGTCTCTGCTGTCACATGTCACTTCTGTCCTTGCTCCTCTATCAGAGGGACAAACCCTCTGCAAGTGTCCCCCATCTCATCTGCTCTCATCCCAGCCTTCACCGCTGACTGTTTTCTCCTTAAGAAACGAGTGCCGGACACAGTGGCCTTTAATCTCAGCCCTTGAGAGGCAGAGGCAGGTGGGGCTCTGTGAGTTCGAGGCCGACCTGGTCAACATAGTGAATTCCAGGACAGCCAGGGCTACATAAAAAAAAAAAAAAAAAGCAAAAAAAACCTCCATCAAAAACCAAAAAACTATTTATGTATATGAGTGCTCTATTTGCATGACAAAACAGAGTCATTAGATCCCATTGCAGATGGTCGTGAGCCACCATGTAAGGTTCAACCTAGGAGTGGAACTCAGGTCCTCTGGAAGAGCAGCAGCCAGTGCTCTGAACCACTGAACTCTCTCTCCAGCCCTACCACCAACTTTTTATTATTCAGTTGTGTCCTTTAGGATATCAGCCCGTGTGAGCACAAGCTCTTGTCTCTCTTATAGCCCTAGCATGTGGCACTGCGCTTGCAACCTCACACGTATTGGTCAAAACTCACCAACTTGGCAAATAAGCGGCACCTTGGGAGGCAAATGATACCTGATATTGTAGGAAATTCAAGGTGTCCTCAGCCAGCAGCAGCTGGTAGGCCTCCTGGATAGACAGTGGTAGGTCTTGGTAGAAGAGCTGGATGGAGCCCTGGAAGCCGAGCAAGGCCTTAGCTGTGTGCCCTTCCTGCAGTGCCCAAGCCCAGCGGGGTCAACTTCTTGGCCCTGTCCCTCTCCCCACACACCCAGCATCACTGCGAGACCACGAGCAACCAGGAAAGAGGATTAGAATCCCTGCTGCCTGTGTTCTGTTCTTGTCTGTTCCCAAAGTCCGCCTCTAAGTTCACCGGAAACGTGATTCTGAAGTCTTTCTGGATCACCCAACCCTACCCTTCCCAATCCTCAAGTCTGAAGCCCTCTCTCACGCCTCCAGCACCCCACTCACACACTCCAGCAGATACAGGGCCTCTTCGGGGTGAAGCCGCTGGCGCCCTTGCTCCGAGTAGCCCATGGTCTGCCAGAATTTCCCCTGCGCGGCACCAGAGCAAGTGTCACAAAGCAGCTTCCAGGACAGAGGAAGGGGTCCCCCCCGCCGCCGAGATGCCCGGGCCGCTCACCGCAGGGGACCGCAACTCCACAAAGCCCTCTTCCGGCCTCCACTCCGCGGCCACCAAGCTGCCCCTGGCGAGGAGTGGGGAGGATCTGGGTCTGAGCGGGCAGTCCCCGGGCCACGTCCACCGCCCACCCGGCCCGGCCCCTCTCACAGGCGCTCCACGCGCTCCTCCGCCAGCAGCTGCCACAGCTCCTGGCGACACAGGCGCAGCCGCTCGGCCTGGGCCTCGGAGCCGTCGGGGAGGAAGTCCTTGGGGCCACGCGACCGCTGAGGCAGCTTCTGGGACCGCGAGCGCGCGGCGCGGAGCTCCGAGGCGCTGGGGAGAGCGGGGACGCGCGGTCAGCCCCGGGGCCGCCCCGCTCCCACGCGGGCCCCGGGGCCCACGCACCCCACGCCAGCCCCGGGCCGGGCAGCACCTGAGCACACGCCCCGCAGGAACCTCCACGGACGCGGGTTCGGATTCGGGATCCATCTGGCCGCCGTCTGCGGCTGCGCGCGCCCCGCGAAGCCCCGCCCACCGGAACTCCGAGCGGTCCTAGCGCCGCGGACCTGCTGGCTCCTGCTGAGCGTAAATCCAGCCCCCGGCCCCCGCGCCTCCCTGCCGGTCCCGAGGGTGTCCCAACACCTGTCCTCACGCGCATACCTCGGTCCGCGGGACCGAGTTCGATCTGCAGGTTTCTAGATGTGCAGAAAGTCACCTCTTCTGTTTCCGGCGCTTCTGAGGTCCCCACCTTAGTAAAACTCTACCTGCCGTCCGGGAACGTAGTACGAATAACCAAAGGTGTGACCCGGGCCCCCTCCCCCCGCAGCCCTGGCCCGCCTAGTGCCACCACCAAGAGAAGAGGTGCGTGGAGAGGGGAGAGCAGTGAGTCCTCGAACGCCAGCTTGGCAAAGCGGAGGCCATGTGGGAATGTCAGGAATGGTCTAGGGATTTTCGGGGTCCCTTCGGGGTGGGCCAAGCCCGGGAGGAGGGTTCAAAGGGCAGCGGTGGGAGGCGCTGTCCGGCTCACCCTGGTGCTGAATCGCCACCCCAGCCTCCAAAGGCAGGCACCTCCTCGAGGCGGGGGTCCCCGCCGTGACACCGTGGGCCTCTCTGGCCTTCTCCACTAGGTGGCGCCGTTGCTCCAGCCAGCAGCCAAGGGTCAGCGACTCTGAGCGTGGACGTGGGTCGCCGCGGGCAACCCGGGGAAGGATGGGGCGAAGAGGAAGGTATCCCCGCCCCTAGTGCGGTCCGTAGGTTCAACTGCCAAAACATCCTGTGATCTCCCTTACTCACTCACACCTCATTTTCTGGTCCAGAGCCCAGCTCTCTCGGGACTCCCCAGCCAGGACACAGTGGCACGAAGCCTCATCCACCCCCCCCCCACTCCCGCCGCTTTGCACCCCTTAAGCGGCTTCACCTGCGCGCATGCGCTGATCTGACCAGTCGCTTGGATCCCGACAGGCTGGCGGGGGCGGAGCCAAGTGAGGATTGGGGGCGGGACCCAGGGTGCTGATTGACAATCCGACTGAGCGGCCGGGACGGTCCCCAGCTCCCGATCCGGCGGGAGGGAGGGGGGAGGGGCGGGATTTCCTGCGGGAGGCGCCGAGCCGGCCTTGGAGAGGAGGAGAAAGGGGTTTGGGGAGGGTGGACAGTGGAGCCAGCGTTCTGAGTGCCAGGGACTGAGCACGGCCAGCCGGACCCCCGGCGGGGCGGCCGGGAGAGGTGAGACTGAGGGGCCCGGGCTGGGGGGTCAGAACCCTTGAGAGCAGACGCGAACTAACTTTTCTTGTCTGATCGTCGGGCGCCTCCATCTCTCTGCTCCTTCCGCCTTCCTCGAGCCCCCTTTTTCGTTCTCCTCTGTCTATCCGTCGGACTCTTGACTGTCCGGGTCCCTCTTGCCTCTTTGTTCCTGGAGTCGGCTCTGGCTAGGCTTAGCTGCGGGGAGCTGCACAGCGCTGGAGGGGCATTCCAAGGGGCGGGGGAGCCAGCCGACCCCAGGCACTGCCAGGAGCACCCTCCCCCGGTGCGGGGTCGCGGGCTTTGAGGGGGAGTGCCCCCAGGCTTGGGCTTGGGACTTATGAGGAATGAGGGGTTCCCCACCTGGGCCCCAGGCCTGCACGAGTCTCATGCCACCAGATTCTGGCAACAAAATCACCACCGCTGCCGCCGAGGAACTAACTGGCTTAAAGGTTTTGTGCGGGGCTTTCAGGTTCAGGCTTGGGAGGCAGTTGGCTAGCAGAGTCCAAGCTCTGTCCTGGCTCTCCGCCCAGCTGCTCCCTCACACCACACCACAGAAGCAGCAAGGACGGGTCAGCAACAGGTGCCCGCAGAGCTTCCCTATCCAACAGGTAGACCTCCCCCAGGAAGGGAGGGTGCAGGCACCCCACTCCACCCTCCAGAGAGCTGGTAGCGAGGAGTGTGAGGGCAGACACCTTAAACAGGGAGTGACCCCTGCCCGTCTGCCTGTGCCACTCTCCCAGGCCCTACCTCTTGGTCCCGCCTGTTGTCTGTGGGTGTCAGAGCCTGAGGCTGTAGAGAATGGGCCACTGGCCCTGCCTACCCCAGTGTCTCCTGCTGCCAGGGCACCTCCTGCCCAAGGTTGATGTGCTGCCCGGTGCAGGGGGCGGGGGGGGGGGGGGGGGGGCAACAACACACAGGCAACTCAGCCTCTCCTGGAATATCACCCTCTCCCCTTGGCATGTATTTCTCTCCAAGTACAGTAGCTTTCTCCCCTCCCTGAGTGGCTCAGACCTTCCATGACTCCTAGGGTACCTAGGGTTATTTGGGGCTTCCTAGAGGTTCTATCTTGCTCATCTTCTGTGTCCTGGTTCCTAGCTGTGACCCAGCTTTTCAGTGGAGGACGTGTGCCTTTTCCAGAACCCCCGCCCCCCCCCCCGGACTTGTCCATGGCTGCTGCCTCATGCCAGAGGGAATGCTGACTGCTCTCTGGGTGGGCATTGGTGCTTCTGAGCTAACCCAGGAAGATTGGTGGGCCCAGTCCCAGCCTATCCCAGGGCCGTCGGAAGCTGCAAGCTGATCTCAGTCCAGATTTCCACACAGCCTCCACCCCACCAGGGACTGGCTTTCCTGCCTGCCGTGGCAGCTCCCAGAGCACCTTGAGGGACTATATCTCTGCCTGACAAGGAGTCCATTGCCGGGGACACCAGACGTGTTCCTCCGGGAGCAGGAGTCCTCCAAAGCATCGATGCGTGGCGAACTGACGCTTAGTTGGACCAGTCTCTTGCTTCTTCCTGGACTCTGAAGCCCAGAGCCGGGCCCGGTCGTCAGAATGGGCCGTGAACAAGACCTGATCCTTGCCGTCAAGAATGGAGATGTGAGCTGCGTGCAGAAGCTGGTGTCTAAAGTGAAGGCTGCAAAGACAAGTGAGTCGTTGGTGGGGTAACCGTCCAGCTGGAGCCCTTCCCTGAGTACCGAGGCTACAGAGAGAGGCTGGGCAGGGAGCTGGCAGGGGAGGGTCACTTTGATTTGCAGGCTTGAGGAAGAAGGACTGTCCTGTTACAGACAAGAAGTGCTTCTGTATAAGAGAGCCAGAGAGGAAAAGGGTCCCTTCTTGCTCTGTGTCTCCGGGCGCATCACTGAGCCGAGGAGTCCTGGCCTGCGAAGTGACCGCACTGAAACACTTCCAACTTAGGTTTTTATTGTTTATCGTGAGCCAGGGTCTGTTCTAAGCTCCGTGCTAGCCCTGGAGGCTGCCTGTTAGGCAGTGACTTTTCAGATGCATTCTCTGGCACTGTGGGACTTCGGTCTACCGGTTGGGAAGGGCAGATTAGAGGGTATGACGGCCCCATCATCCGCATACACCAAGCAGAGCATCTCTGTATAGCTTCATGAGAATGTCTGTAAAACTTCTTCTGAAGCAGTGGTCAGGTTTCTGTTGTTGCTTGGCATGGGGCTCTGTGAGGCTTAGAACCCAGGACCTTAGGACCTTGCGCTTATCCTGCGAGTGCTTTCTCATTGGGGGTGGCACATTCCCTCTTTCCCAGGAAATCTCAATGCCATCACTGTTACTAAAGCTCCTTTCTCCCCACCTCACCTGCTTGTGTTCCTTGGGAGTGTGTAGCCAAAACTAATTTTCTAGAGGTTTCCACAGCCCTGAGGACTGTATCCCTGACAGGACAGTCAGGGCTGGGTGCACAGATAGCTGCTGAGTGCCATCTCTTAGGACCCTCAGTGGTGACATGACCTCTCACACCCACCCCAGGAAAAAGACCCCTGGACTTAAGGGCGAGGTCCCTGGGCTCTTCCAAACCTTGAGGCTTTTCTCCTCTGGGTCTTAAATCAGCTGGTGGTTCTTTCACCCTCCTCTGGGGCTACAGGAAGTGTTCTCTGAGGGGAGGGTCTCCTCTGGAGCATTGGGGCTTTAACCCCAAGACATACCCGGGTCTTGTACAAGGGAAGGACTCCCCAGGCTACTGGAGACATCTTATTATCCCCGCCCACACCTGAGATTGTTGGTGCCAAAAGGAAAGACAGCAGCGTGCACCCACCTGCACAGCTGGGCGGAGACCCAGGCGCGAGGTGGAGCTGTGCCCCAAGGTCCTTGTGTCCTGGGGAAGTGAATGAGGGTGAACAGGATAGAAGGAGGGTGCCGAAGCGGTCCCCAGGAGAGGGCCTGAGGTCTATGTGGGAGCTGTTCTCCTCCCCCTCACCTCTGTGTTGCTTTTGGCCACCTGCCCGGTGGGGCCTTGGTCACACTGCCGCTGGCCTCACAGCTCTGGCTGCCTCAGAGAGTGAGGCCCACTGGAGGGTAGTAGGAGGGGTTGGCTGGTGGCGGGAACCTCAGGGCTAGGCGGGTAGGCTCCAAAACAGGTCTTCCATGTCCAGTGGCAAAGTCTCTAGGGGATCAAGTTCCTTCCCTCTGTCCAAGGTGGAGACTCACCTATATATATATATCTTAGCGGGCGAGAGGCCTGAGCCTCTGTATGAAGTCCCTGCATGGGGCCTCCCTTCTTTGTCTTCTGAACAGCCTGAGAGGCTTAGTGTCAAAAATGAGGCCACAGGTGGCCTTTGTAAACCTTGGAGTTTATGAAATATTGTAACCCCCTTGTGTCCTGTCAGGTAGATCTTTCTATATCCATTATGCAGATAAGGAAAGTGACACTCAAAGGTTAGTGACTTGCCCAAGGTCACATAGCCCTTGGGTCAGATGAAAGATAAACCTAAGTGCTCTCTGTGTTCCCACAGAGATCTCCACTCATTTCCGTTCCAATCAGAATCACTGAGAGAGGATGTTCTAAAAGCATGGCGTTCCCCAAAATAAAACCATAGGAGTCTGGGACTCACTGGATGATCTCAGAGAGGAACGAAGGGGCCCCTGTACCAAAGGAAAGCACCAAAAGGGGGACAATCGGGGCATCCCCTTTTCCTCTCGCTGTGCTAACTGGAAGCCTCTAGCAAATGCTTCTTTCCCTCAGCCTCCTCCTGATTTCCAGCCTACGATCTCTGCCTCCCAGAACCTCTTTGGGATCAGGCACCTGGCATGGGTG